GAACCCCGGCTGGGCTGGCAGCAAAGCTCCGTGCCCCCCGCGAAACCAAACCTGCCAGGCAGCCGCAGGCTGCGGGGGCTTCCTACAAAGTTCTCCCGGGCACTCTGCTGTCATCTGGCTTCCCTGGCCCCGGTCGGCATCGCTGGCGACAGCAACGCGCTGCTTTGCCGGGAGCCATCGGTGACGGCAATCTGCGTGGGCAACGGGGAGAGGCAGAGATCCCCTGGGCGCCTCCCGGGTGGGCAGCACGTAGTGCTGGAGAGACATTCGGAGACAGACTTAGATGGAGGTGGATACAAAGCCGCGGCTGAAATAACCTCTTTTTATCGTGGAAATAGCTGTCTTTTGAATTTTACTCTGAATGGCATGGCAATGTTAGAGTAAGATTTAAATCTGAGCTTTAGGGACAGCTGATTCACCTGAAGAGGGCGAAGTACCCAGCGTGATGAGTGAGGTTTACAGAGACAGCTCTGCCAGCTAGGTAGGAAATCTGGGGACAGTTGCAAAATCAACGAGTGCCTTACATTTCCATCTTATTTTAGAGAGAGCAGAAATTAGGGCGATCCATAGTCAAAGGACAGCTTTCCAAGGGTACAAGAGTGTGTATTTCCTCAGCTCCTGTTGATTTCCAACAGGAATTAACTGGCTTTTATGCCTTCAAACATTTCTGCTTGCATCCAGGGTGCTCAAATGACTGCTATGTGTTTATTTGCTCATTTTAATCCCTCCTCAAAGTGCCTTTGTGCAAACTGTCATCTAATTCTCTGCGGCATGCTACAAAGCGGCAAAACTCTTGTTGACTCGTAGGAGCAGGATTTAGCCCTATAAAAATACTGTGTTGAATAGTCGGTTATAATTTGCTGTACAGTTAACACACGCACGTGTAACTCTGCTTTCCTACCCAGTACTGCTCGTGAAGGTACGTGTCTCTTTCCAAAGCTCTCCAAATGCTTAAAGCTATATTCAGGAAAGTGGCTGGCTCAAACAGGATTTGAATGCTGGTGAGGGAGAAGAATCTAAATTGAATTATTGTCAGGCAGTGATTTGCTTTATCAGATTCTGCCATTGCACCGACAGAGTTTAGAGCCAGGCGCTGAGATGGAGTTTTTTTTTCACTGGAAGTTCGGACCCCATCCCGTGCCAGCGCCCTCGGCAGCCCTGCATTCCTCTGCGGCAGCTGAACCGAGCAGCTGGGAACGCAGGCGGATACTTTACCAGGGCCAAATCCTGCCAGCATGGCAGTCAAGGGGACTGACCGCCACAGACTTCAAGTAAGATCGGGATTTGGCATAAATAGATCATCTCTGAGAACTGGGTTGCACGCAACTTTTGCAGTCCCGTCTCCTTTTTGTTTTGATGCTGTTCTCCGCACTGTTTTGTCCTCTGTCTTCATTTAACGGCCAAGACAGAGGGCCAAAAGAGAACAGAATAGACATTTTGTCTGCCGTGTTACCTGATTTGTTTTGGGTGATCACACGAGACAAGCACAGTGATACATTCTTCTAAACAGAGAAATACTTAATCTGTTTAGTAAATACCTACTTTTAACCTTCCTTTTTTCCTTCCAGTAGAAGACTATTTAATTGAGCAACGCTAAGCATTAGTGAGTCTGTGAGACACTTGTTTTCTTAAACATGTAGGATACTTGCATGTATCCGTGCAACTTACTCCTATTAAACTCTCCAAAAATAGTTTGCTGCCTGAAGTCGTCCTGCAAAGCCTGTTCTCTGAGCAAGAGGCACTTCTCCCCTCTGATGCTCTGCTCTTGCAACACACCGAGTCCCTTCTGCACACCCGCAAGAACTGACATAGCACTTGATGCCCGGTGGAACTGGGTCTGGAGCATATGACAACCGTGATCAATCAGAATTAGAAGGGGGACGACGCAGGAGGCCGGAATACCGATGTTTCCCGTTTGTCTGTGTACACAAGATACATTTTTCAGCACTGTGGGTGACTAGCTACCAGAAGAAGTGGTGAATTTTCCATTTCTCCAGATGTCAAAGTAAAGACTGCAAGTGCCCTTCTGGAAGATGTATTTTTATCGAACAGACATACGGAGCTCAGTGCAGAATTACTGTCAGAATAAGTCCTCAGGGACATATTGAACACAAAACCAAGTCATCGCGGATCAAATTGTCTTTCATGAACCTCAAAATCTGTTAATACCCATGTGTTTTTTCTTGTAATATCCTAAAAAGTATTGATATGAAAATGATTAATAATGTACTTCATGTGCAAAATTTGCCCTCCAGAGGCATTCGTGCTAACGCACAAAAACATATCCAGCCATCTTAAAATATATTTTGCATTTTATTGTCTGTTTTGAATAGGAAATTTTTTTCAGGTGCTCAGTGCCTAATTTTAGCATTTCCTAACAAAATTGTCTGCTCCTCAGGAAGCAGACAATAGCAGTCTAGATGATGAGGGCCGTTTGAGTGCGGTACATTGACCAAGAAGTCCTACTTCAGGATTAGCCCCTTCCTGATTTCAGAGGGGCAGAACTACCATTATATTTGGCTATTCCCACACTGACAGTACTTGTTAGTTTTCAGACCCTCCTCAGGCCGGACACACATTAGTCAAAGCCCATTAGAAGAGAGTAAAGCATCAGTCACCCCACTGTAAGGAAGAGGGAGCCCATGGATAGGAGGTGAAGAGGTTTGCTGTATTCATGAACCCATTTTGCACTCATAGTCAGGTGTTTATCATGGGTCAGAATGTAAAATTTGGCTGCCTTTTTGTGGAAATTGCAATTTTAACTTCTCCTTGCTCAGAAACAGCCAGACAAGCTCAAGACAAGCTCAGCACGAGCAGTTTCCATCATTGTGAAGGAAAGCTACTGCGGGTCGAGCCTTTAGAAAGCACAGTCCATCTTTTTTAAAATCAGATAGTCACAATGAGAGGGTGGTTTGCAAATCTCAATTCATCCAGGCTCTGCACACCAACGAGGTCAGTGCAGAGGAGTTACTGGAAGACATGGGAGCAGATCTGTCTCCAGAGTTAATCAGTCGAGCCCCTTTGTCCCCAGCGGTACTGCTCTGATTAACTACTCCAAGCCCACCACAACCAATGCGTCTCAGAAAATACGTGCAAGAAGTCTGCCGTGGCTCTGTCGGTGCAACAAGCACCCTGAAAGCAGCATGAGCAACGTACTGTGGAAGCGTGGCCACGCCAGAGGTGCTGCCATGCCCTGGGAGGTGAGCTGGGCTCAACGCAGGGCGCGGGGGTTCCCTGCCGCCCCGGGAGGACGCACAGCCTCAGCCCTGGGCTTCACTGTCTCCTTTCTGGTTTGAAGCCAGCACTGCACTCTCAGCAGGGGCTTGCAAGTGTGTTTCTCAAATCAGCACAACAAAGCCAAGAGAAAAGAAGACACCTGCAAGACAGGGAACGATTGCAGGTGACGTTTCAGTCAATACTGGGTCATCTTTGAATGATGAGATGTTTCATTCAAGCCTTTCAATTTCCACCCCAGGCTGTGGTTGTTTTTGCTCCTTCAAGTACTCGCATCCATCACCACTCAGCACAGGCAACAATAAGGGAATATTATTCCAAGTCTGCAGGTAAAAGCAAGGCTCTGAGCAGTTCACAAGCAGCGTGTGCCCCTGCTCTGCATCCCCAACTAACTTTACAGGGCATCAGCCACACTCAGATACCAAATGTTAGACAGCCGTCCCCTTCCTGAAACCAAACAGCGGTTCAACCACAAGAGCCTGCTGAGTATAAATGGGGGGCCCGAGCAGTCAGCGAGGTCCGAACAAGGAACTGCCTCCTCCAAGACAGATTAATTGCTTGGTTAACGATAGCTATAAAGTAATTATTGCGCCTTAATTTATTCCTCCTTGCAGAAACCTATCATCAGTCAAAGATCCAAAAGCTGATTTTTGCATAAACAAAACTTGAAATCGGTATGAAAGGGATGCGTACATACACGTGGCCTTGTGCTTGCGCACCTCAGGCCATGCTCCTACACCTGCACCCCGTTTGCTAGCTCACTCTTCTCTGTGGGGTGAGACCAGAAGCTCTCATCATCCTGAAGCCTTAAATCCTCTCATCTCCGGGGCACTTGGTGCCCCACAGACTGGATTTCACCAGCTGAACTCCAGGTAGCAGAAGTCAAAACTCCGATTTTTTGCTAATTTAAGCCAGGGAGCATTTAGCAATGCCTCAAGACTCAAAGAAAGTATAACTAAATATACCATGGCAGGGTGTCCAAAAAGGGCCAGGACAGAGATGCCAGCCCCTGTGGTGCTCCTACCAGCTAGGAAAGGCCGGGTACCCACTCTGGTGGCTGAAACAGGCAGCAAACTACAGGTGGGGCCAGACAATGTTTTAAGTTAGATAGTGTCTTTGCCAGACAAGGATGATGCTTGTGTTTACCCAAACTATTTGCAAATCCACCCAGAAATTTAAGAATCCTTCTGGAAATTTTTTTTTTTCCCCAGATACTGAATTGTCTCATTTCAGCCTTTAGGAGGCAAAATAACACAATTTCTCACTTCAAGATTAAGTTTTTCTCATTAGTTTGCTTACACAATTTTAAAAATCCTGTCCATTTTGTTCAAACCACAGGACTCTTACAAAAAGTCCCGCAGTTCAAGCAGCAAAGCAGAGAGCAGCTGCTCCCCGCGCTGTGCACCCCTCTGTCCCAAAGCTGCCTGCACGGGGTGGGCACCCATGGTGGGGAGTGGTGCAGCACCCACCCTCTGCCCAATTCCCACTCGCAGCAATCATAGGCACAACCCTTCTTCCTTGCCCGCTGACGGAGCCCGATTTAAGCCGATTGACAACCCATGTCCAGTCTGAGCCCTCTCCTTGTTTCTGTAACCCAGTGACTGCAAGGGCACAAGATGAGGCTGATTTGGGCCACTCTTTTCTCTCATGCACATGTCCCACCTCGCTCCCTGGGAGATAACCAGGCCAGCAATCCTTCAGCCTACCTCTAACCAGACAGAACAACCTTGGCACATGCTCCCAGAAGAGGCTTTGGGCAATAAATCAACACACAGAGTTTTGTTTCACTTACAGCTGCAAGACGGGCAAGGGATGGCTGGGTGAGGAGCAGGGATATAAGGAGCACTTCAGCTCTAGGTCACTAGTTCAGTACATGGCCAGGTTGGGAGCGGTGGGATTTCCAAATCGGCAGGTGATCTCCTTTCATTTCTCTGGGGTGCTTGCTAGGAAACCTCTCATTTCAGTGTTTGGTTGTGGGCATTAAAAGAAGAGGCCAAAGGCTGAGCAGATCTTGAAGAGCAAATCCGCACCTTGGCAGAGTTGCCTAGAAAAAAACCATTCCTCTTGCTGGTGCTGTCCCACTTGCATCTGCTGTGACCGCCACACCGGGATGCCTGCACTGAAATTATCTGCCCCAGCCATGCCTGAGCCTCCCTCCATGCAGTGCCCAGAGGAGCTGCTACAGCAGCACACACTCAGACTGTCTTTTTTCCCCCCGCTGCTTTTCAAAATGCATGATCAATTCCTGAGACGCTCACACAGCTATTAGTCCTTCTCCAGATGAAACTCCAGCTGCCTCCAGTGCAAGACTGGAGAATTCATGGAAAGAAAAGTATCAGACCTTCTCTGGTATTTGGCCAGCTTTGCTTCAAAGTGACGCCCAGGCACGCTGAATATTGTCCTATGCACACCTGGATGCAGGGCAGCTCTGCATGGGGATCTATGCCATCCATTTATCGCATGAGCTGTCATATCCTGGAAAAAGGTGTTAGTTCTAAATGATTCTGACCACTTTTGCATGTCCAAATTCAATATCTCAACTGGAAGTCCTGCCTACGCCCCGGTACACCTGATCTGCAGTTAACAGTACTGATTCAGGCGTATCAGAAATGTGGCGGAATCAAGATAAACAAGGAGGCAATGTAATAGCAGAGAACAAATTATGCTGCAAGAATAGAGAGCCATATTTGAAAGGAGAGGCAGAGCAAAAGCGGGCAATTTATTGCTCATTCACAGTTTTTCGGTGTAGTAAAACTGAAAGCTAACTTCAAACGTTGCAGGAAAAACATCTCACGTTGTTGAGTGAGTGCCAAGCAGCAGATTAATCCATTGCAGATATTAACAAAGAAATGCATATGAGGAAAAATAATCTTCGTTTTACAGTGATGGACCCTTCACTAACTTTTATTACTCAGGAAAGAGACCTTGGAGCTCTAAGTCACCAGCTTCATGCTCAGCAGCAATGCAAGAAGCAAACATGCCAGTTGTTTGCGAGAAAGGCAC